AGACAGACAGACAGACAGATAGACAGAGAAAGAGAGAGAGAAAGGGGTGGGTAAGGATTGAGGGATAAGGGTAGAGGATACTCAGAGAGCTATATTGATTTAGAGAAGGCTGTGAATTTCTTATGTTGATTATTTGTTTCCCATTGGATATTTTATTGAGGCACAGACTAAAAGGTTGATGCATTTCAATAAATTCTGTATGACTTCAGAATGAGAGATAGAATTCCCCTTACATGTCATGAATTTTAAGCTGTTTGAATTTCAGTCTGGCATTGAACAACCCTGCATCCATGGTCACAGAATTAGCATTATTTAATCGGGGCAAAATCATTCTGGAAGAAAGGATTAGTGATAATCATTCCCTGGATGATTTCTTAAGGTTTTTTAAATTTCTTAATGTTTAAGAAATTTCTATATAATGATAGCTAATATTTATAAACCATTTATTATGAACCAGACACTGTCCTCCTTCATAATAGATTCATTTAAATTCATGATACTCCTTTGAAATATGGAAACTTATCTCCATTATACAGATGGAGAAAGTGAGACTTAGAATTTAAGGAATGAGAACTTGGCCAAAGTCATACCTCGTAAGAAATTAGAACTGGAATTTGAATTCTCACAGTATAACCACAAAACTTGTATTTTTTTTTCTTTTTCTTTTTTTATTTCAGCATATTATGGAGGTACAAATGTTTAGGTTATGTGTGTTGCCTTTCCCCCACTTCTCCCCCTGGAGTCAGAGCTTCAAGCATGTCCATCACCCAGAGGGTGCGCATGGCGCTCACCATCTATGCATATACCCGTCTCCTCCTCCCCCTTCCCATCTGCCCAATGCCCGATAAATGTTATTCCTGTATGTCCACTTAGGTGTTGATCAGTTAATACCAATTTTCTGGTGAGTACATGTGGTGGTTATTTTTCCATTCTTGGGGTACTTCACTTAGTAGAATGGGTTCTAGCTCTATCCAGAATAATACAAAAGGGGCTATATCCCCATTGTTTCTTGTGGCTGAGTAATACTCCATGGTATACATATACCACATTTTATTAATCTATTCTTGGATTGATGGGCACTTGGGTTGTTTCTACATCTTTGCAATTGTGAATTGTGCTGCTATAAACATTCGAGTGCAGATGTCTTTTTTATAGAGTGTCTTTTGTTCTTTTGGGAAGATGTCCAGTAATGGGATTGCTGGATCAAATGGTAGATCTACTTGTATCACTTTAAGGTATCTCCATATTGTTTTCCACAGAGGTTGCACTAGTTTGCAGTCCCACCATCAGTGTAGGAGTGTTCCTATCTCTCCACATCCATGCCAGCATTTATTGTTTGGGGACTTTTGATAAAGGCCATTCTTACTAGAGATAAGTGATGTCTCGTTGAGGTTTTGATTTGCATTACCAGTCACATAATTTTTAAGTGACAAAGCTAGAGCCCTGCAAAACTTTCTGTACCATGTTATATCAGCCTCTTTCCCCTTCCACTATCATCAGTGACGTTAGTTCCTGCTCCCCTGAAAGCCATCGTCTTGCCTGTAATTATATGGATATTAATCACTTTCTGCCTTCTCGGCCTCAGAGATCCCTCTCCTCTCAATTCCAGTAAGCTTCATATTTACTTCACTTTAGGGGCATAAGGTGGTGTAAATATTTTAGATTCCATGGATCACTTTTGTAATGCTTGAGTCCCAGCTACAGGTGGGCCTATCACCCAAACAGTGTTCATTGTACCCATTAGGTAGGTTTTGCTCCTCTCTTTTCCTCTCCCCACCCCTGGTTGTTTTCCACTGAGTTTTACTTCCTTCTGTGCACTTGTGTGCTCATAGGTTAGCTCCAGTTTAATAGTGAGAACATGTGGTGCTTTCTTTTTATTCTTGAGCTACTTCACTTTTCAATACTGCCCTAGTTTATGGTCCATAATATAACCTCTTCCATTTTTGAACTTTTGCTGATCCATACTTTATTTTTGGAATTTTTTCCCTTCTTTTTCTTATATTCATCTTCCAAGATCCAGCTAGAAAGTTTCCCTATGAACAGTTTACATGCTGGACAACCCAACTGTAATGAGTTTTTCCCCATTTTGTTTTCTATTTGTACTTCTGTTACAGCCTTTGGCATATGTTTTCTTGGCTACATGTCTCTCTTTCCCTTTCCTACCACACTGAGGACCATCCTTGTCTTTTCCTGAGTGCATAGTGGCATCAGAAAAGAGCAAAGATTTTCATCTCAGAGAGCCCTGGATTCAAATCTTAGCTCTACTACTTGCTTTTTTCTTGGCCAATGTTTTTGCTTTGGTTTCCTTACTTGTAAAATGAGAGAAAAGCTTAACTCAGAGAGTTACTGTAAAGATTAAGTAAGTTAATATAGGTATAGAAAGTATGGTAATTTCTCTGTAAATCTTAGCCCCCTTCTCCTCAGCATACTGCTCTAAATGGATTCCCACAGAGGTTTGAAATGTGAATGCATGGATGAATGTTGAATGGGGAGGCTGCCTCAGCTTTTGCTGTGTGTCAAGTAAAATTGTAAAGGCTTCCCAAGTAGGGTAAGAATTTTGATAATTAGAATTTTAATTACTTGGATATTAATTTGGATAACAATTGTATAAAACTAAATAAGCAGATAAAGTCATGTAGTTTGATGAATTTTATTTTTAACTAGTTAGAATAAAGTCAATGTATTTTCAGATCCTATGGCCACTAATATAAAAAGGTTGGTTAAAGGAATTAAGGAACTTAAAAGCATTTAAACATTATGAGATGATGTAATCAGAAACACTATTCAGGGCAAGAATGGAAAGTAAACATTGAAGTTGATATATTGGTATTTTATTTCAGGAATAAAAGTCTGATTGCAAGTGGCTTCATGAAGATCATTATTTAAATTTACAGTTATAGTCCTGAAAATACATTACTAATTACATAGTATGTGCAAAATCAGATGTAAATCCAGGTGGCAAAACCCACTGGATTTTAAATAAGACAAAACCAGGTATGAAACAAATATCTTCTACTTAGGACTGGTTAGCAACTTGAGTGAATGATTTCACTTCTCTTAGGCTTAGTTTCTTCATCTACAATATGGGCATATTAATAATGCCCATGTCTTTGGGTTGTTAGGTTGTGTGCAGGTTACAGCATGTGAAGAGTTAGAATGATACCTAGCAAGTCGAATAAGCACTTATTAAATTTAGTTCTGACTATAGTGTACACTTTACAAATGGTTTGCAATTGATTTGGCTCTATTGGAGGTGATTTTGTCTCACAGGGAACATTTGGCAATTGCTGGAGACATTTCTGGTTGTCATACTTGGGGAGAGGGGGCTGCTACTGTCATCTAGTGAGTAATGGTCAGAGATGCTGGTAAACCTCATATACGATACACAGAACAGCACCTCACAACAAAGAGTTATCTAGCCCCAAATGTCAATAGTGCAGAAGTTGGGAACCCCTAAGCTAAAGAATGGATAAAATTCATTTCTCACCAGCTTATCTATAGACAGCAGTATTTAAAAACCTTTCAAAGAAGGAGAGACAAAGTGATGATAGAAAGTTATATTCATAGAAAATAAAATTCATACATCATACTTCTGAAATATTTATAGGAAAAGAAGACACACATATTAGGTAAACCTAGATAAAATATATTTTCCTTAAGCATGCAAAATTATTTTCAACTTAAAACGAAAGATATCTATTTTGAGCAAACAGCACAGAGGAAGAATGGAACAGAATATTTACCGGATGAGCGACTATTTACCTCAGTGAAGAGATGCCAATGAGGGAAAGCGGATATAGGCTGCATATGTTTTTATATAAAAATATTTGATCAGTACATAATTGATAGAAAAAGAGATGTTCTACTTCAGCCCTTCTGAAAGTCATTTCTCAAATTTCAGTAGCATATTAATAATGATCAATACCTCTTTCAGAAATCCAGGTCTTTAACAGTTACATTTAAATATGTCCCCTGGAAAAATCAGAGCTCCTATGAGGTGACCAGCCTTGACTGAAATCCGATCTCAATGTTTGACTTGATAAAACTTGCCCCAAACACACAGATTAGCTTACTAGAGACAGTATGTCACAAAACATCTTTGCAAGAGAACTGTTCTAAAGGTATCCAATTAAGGGGGCATTTTTTCTTTCTCAGTATAAACATTATAGAAGCTTTTTTAAAAAATGATGGAATAAAATGGAAATTTTACTTGCAGATGGGTAAAGACTTTAGCACCACATTTTGGCAATTCTTTCTTGAATTGTTGTGCATATGCATGCTACTAGAGGTGTGCCTCAAATAGAATATGCCCACCTATCCACTAAAAAAAATGGTAAAAGAAATAAAGAAAACCTCTGAGACATATATTAAATATAGTTTTTCATATTATAAAACTATGTGCTGTGGTATGGAATCATGAGATTTGTTTGGGCATTGAAAATATGATTCCATTTATAAAACTTCTGTGTCTGTACAGCTTCTAGGGAAGTTACAAATAGTTATATAATGTGAGGCACAGCTTCATTTGTGTATTCATTAATTTTCAACAACTCTTCAGTGAGTAGCAACTCTGTGTCAGGCACTGTACTGAGTGCTGAGGATAAAACAATGGATGTGAAACAACAGGTTCTTGTCTGTCAGCAGCTTACCTTGTAGACTGAAATATAGACTAAAAACATGTACAGGGACTTATTAAATATTTACACTTTGTAATTAGATCAATGAAGAAAATAAATATAAATATAACTTGATTTATTGGATCCTTCTTTCATTTCTTGCATATCAAATAATGTATAATTTATGTATAGTCCAAGTCTATGTTTACAATGGCTAGCCAATCAAGTCCAGAACATATTTTATTCTTTTAGAGAAAACAATCTACCTTAAAATTGTTTGCAGTTGTTGATTATCTTCACTGTTTAACTTGACCTGAGAAATTTAAATCTGTGTATATAAAATGTTGAATCATTTAAACAGTGTTCTCATCTTTTCTATTTCAGGGTTTTTGGAGCTGCCATACTTCTTACCTCTACTCTAAATATGTTAATTCCATCAGCAGCCAGAGTGCATTATGGATGTGTCATCTTTGTTAGAATATTACAGGGACTTGTTGAGGTATGGAACTACAGGATGATAATCATTTTAAGGTTGACATGGAATTGAGAAACATTAGCTTATCTTTGCTTTGTCTACAAAAGAATGTATTTTTAATAGGTTGTCTCTACATGTTGTTAAAATAAAAAAATGAAACATTGGAAAAGTTAGGCAATCAGATAATTTGCGTATAAACAAAACTAAACTATAATTGTGGCTGCTGACCTCCTCCTCTGTAGAATTGAGGAAGATTAAAGAAATGTTTTAGTGAGTATTTGACTTAAAAAAAAAACAGGCACTTTTGTTAATGTGTTGTTATGAGAATTTTTGAGTCTGTCCTTTGCTAGTGATAACCCTGAATTAATATCCTTAGGGAGTTTTCTTTACTAAGTCCCTGTCAGTCTTGAATCAAGATATGAATTTTCACCAAAATATTTCACCGAATATATTTTTTGGGCATCCAAATTCTAATGATCAGCTCTTGCTCCATGAGCGTGCAGACTTTGAAAGAAAACCATTTAAAAACTGTAGTTTGGGCTATTGCCTCTTCTCTTTCTGTGAAGTGTAATGGGAATAGATAAATAATATAAAATATGAATGCACTAAAATTTCCCTCTTCACAAATAAAAAATGATATAATCGAAATAATAGAAAAAGGTTAATTATTTTAAGGATCTCAAATTCTAGACACTACTTTCAGAAAGTGTTGAGTTTCAAGGATCTAAGCCTCACCTTCCCCTCTGTAGATTCCTTATATTTTGGGATCATTGAATTTAATGCCTCACAAAAAGATACTCCTAATTTCTCAAACTGTTCAGAATTACAGATGAATTGGTTAATATATCATTTCTTTTCTTTGCCTTAATTAGAAGAAATTTGAGGTGGAGAGAAGACCTACAGGGTGGGGAGGATTTGAACACATTATTAAAAAGACTCCATGTCTTATGTGGTTTAAAAGCTTTTAAAATGGAATGCTAGGGAATCAGTGAGGTCGGTGAGTAGGAGCTTTCCCTAATACCTTGTGACTGTCCTGAAGAAAACAGCATCAGAGAAGGGAATATGTGTATTTCCCAGTGACCGTGGATCCTAAATGGTGATATATATCTTCCCCCATCACAGGGAGTCACCTACCCAGCATGTCATGGGATATGGAGCAAATGGGCCCCTCCTCTAGAGAGGAGTAGATTAGCAACCACCTCCTTTTGTGGTGAGTACTGTGTGCAGATGTAGTTATGGTGGGTTAAAGTTTAGGAAAAACTTGGATAAGAATTGAAAGTTTGGTAAATTCACTTGTAAAGCCATCTGGGTTTGTGTGTGTGTGTGTGTGTGTGTGTGTGTGTGTGTGTGTGTACGGTAAGTTTTTTGACCATCATTTCAATTTCTTTAGTTCTTAGTGTTCTCCTTAAATCCTCTATTTCTTCTTGTGCTTTGTATTTTTCTAGGAACTGATCCACTTCACCTAGACTTTCAAATATATTCATGGGTGGTTTGTTTGATATAAAAAATACAAATTTTAAACACTTTTACAAATGTAAAAATACAAAGAAGTGAAGACTATGAATTCATGTTTATAAACATTAATTTTACTTTGAATCCTATCTGGTGTTAAACCTAACAGTTTATCAGAATTTGTGTTTGATACAACTTTATGTTAGAATTTTAGTGGACAAAATTGATAAAACCCTTAAAGAAAATAACTACTGTAATTAAAATTAATATCATTTTCATCTATTCTCCTAAGTACTATGGTTATAATTTTCTATTCACTACAACTTTTATTTTTTGGAACAAAAAATGACCTTACTGGTATTTTATGTAACAGAATTGATAAACATATATTAAATCTTGAATCCCAATTTTTAAGGCTTAGGACTCTATCTACTAGTCTGAAACTACTTTTATTTAATTGCTAATTTTTATAATCTCTTAAAACAGTCAATGTGATTTAAGGTCATTTTTTTCTCTGCAGAGTGCTCATGTTTTTTGTCTTTGTATCAAAGCAGCAAGGCAAGAAAGTGGTTCCCTTTCCAAATATAAAAGAGAATGTCCACTCATTTTAAAATTCAGGAATTAGAACCACTGTAAATAATCTTAGCAATAGGAAATTAAAGCTGCTGTAATTTCCCTTTACATTTAAACAATAACATTAGATTAACAGTGTTATTGCCTACAGAATTTATAGATTTAAGCATTTGGGCTTAAATCATGGGGCATAAATATTGCCATTTCTGTCTATCTTTCTAAGGCATTGTTTTCATAATCTCCTTTGATAACTTTTAAAATGAAGTCAGAAAACACTACACAAAACTGAAATGATGTGACTCTTCTACAAGATACATTCAAGATACATTCTTGAGGTGTCAAGAATAGATTTCAGGTGTCTGGTTAGTGTTGGCACACTCGGCTCCTGGCCCAGCACATAGATGTGCAGGACACACACTAACCAGTATGGCTCTTTTATTATTTTTAAATGTCTGTTGTGTCTTGGTAGGGGGTAGGTGGTATCCACTTGTATAGCCCTGTATTCCAGTGTTAAGTGTGTAGGTATGTACATGTATATGTGTGTGTGTGTGTGTTTGGTGTTGGGTATATGTAGGGGTGTGAGTGCACATTCACGTGCAAGTGTGTGTTTACATGAACCAACCGAAGAGTGTGAGATGAAGTCAAGAATTTCTATTGATTTCACTTACCTTCCTGCCATCCTCCCTTCTACTTTAGGTTCCTATGCCGGAGCTGTGATTGCAATGCCTTTAGCTGGCATTCTTGTACAGTACACTGGCTGGTCTTCAGTATTTTATGTCTATGGTATGTTACATTTCTATACTATAGGGTTAAATAAAATGCACATGGGCAAAAAGAAAAGTGATTACAGATAATAAGATAGGTCACCAAATACATTTCTGTGTTTATACACTTATTTACACTTATTTTCTCCCTCAAGAGTCATTTCCTCATTCTAAGAAGATCAAGAAAACTATTTTATCTCTGTTATTTTTGCTACATTGCTATTTCTTGTTTTTAAAAGCAACCAATTTGCTGATGGAAACTTTATAATGTATAAAATATATGTTCTTGATTATGAAGAAAAAATATTAAATTAGCTATAGATTTAAATCTGATGAGGAATATTCACTTGTGTATATATACCACATTTTCTTTATCCAATCAGCTATTGATGGACACTTAGGTTAATTCTATATCTTTGCTGTTATGAATAGTGCTGCAATAAACATACGAGTGCAGTTATCTTTTTGATATAATCATTTCTTTTTCTTGCTGGATCAATGGTAGTTCCATTTTTAATTGTTTGAAAAATCTCCATACTGTTTTCAATAGAGGTTGTAATATTAATAATGTACACTTACAGCCTATATCCCCAAAACCCTGACTTCACCATTACACAATCTATGCATGTAAAAAAATTATTCTTGTACCACATGAATTTATACAGATAAAAGCTGATGAGGAGGAAAGAGCTAGACAATCACCCACCTCTCTTTGCTATTGTTTTCCTGATTATTTCCTTGACTCTGCTTTCCACAACTGAATAGGGGTGGCAAGCTGGAAGGCAGTGTTAGTGCTAAAGCAACAATTCAATTTTGTGATGAAATATCAGTAGTCAACTACTTCAGCAGCACATCTTAGTCCTCATTCCCCCAGAATTAAAGCCCCACATTGAAATAAAATATGGAACCCTAACTCTAAACACCCTTTATGTTCACTTTCTAACAAGAAGCTGAAAGATTACCACTTCAAAGTATCCCTAAGGTCTTTCTCTCTAAGAAGTACTTTTTAATAAAGAGGAAACAAGAAATATAAGACAGCTGGATTCCAACTGATATTGTCACTGATTAATACCATCTTTGGACATAGGCAAGAGAATCTGAAAGATTAATGAAGTCATGCAGTAGAATAGTATCTAGCTGCTTCCAAATTTATTCTGACTTATTCACATTTTGAACTGTTCTTATCGGAACAAATTCTTATGCTTACCGAATGTTATTAAATGCTACTTTATAGTAGGGGCTGTTTTCATGGTTCATAAGCCATGGATAAGTTTTGGATCCATGAATCTTAAATTGTAAGCCTTATATGTATTTGTGAATATTTATTCCCTAGAGAGATTTTTAAAATAAGATTTTATTTTATATTAGATTTTATTAAATCTTTATAAATCTTTATAATCATATATAATCTATATAATAAATATAAATCTTTATTAAATCTTTATAATCTAATATATTATCTTTATATTAGATTTTCAATGAAGTCCACAATTCAACAAAGTTTGAAAACACTTGTTTATAGAGTGTATAGCATGAGTTGGTATGGCTATTCACTAAATACTCTGATTTGTGCTTTGGTCCATTACTTAATTGAAGATATGATGTAACTTTAAAGTAAGAATATAAATATAAATAAGGCATTCATAAAAACCAATCTCTTTATTTCAAGTTAAATTTCATTTGATATTTATAATTGAATGAGACAAAGTCAAAGCTAAATCATTAGATAATCTGAAAATATCATATCATAGTACTTGCTTGAGTGTTGTGTGTAACAATAATTGGGTCTGAGGCCACCCATTCAATATTCATATTTTAAATATTAATGAGAGACCCATATAGTGGAGTAAGTTTTAAAAAGATAATGCATACAATGCAATTAGCAGAGTGTCTGACACTTTAGGGGAATTCAGTTAGTGGTAATGATGATTACTAAAAAATTATAATAGCTGTCATTTATTGGGTGCTTATTTTGTGCCACCCACTGTACTGGTTGATTTATACATTATCCCCTTCAACTCTTCTTTTCCACTATCCCATAAAAGTGAATTATTATTCCATTTTATAGTGGAGGTTAAGAGAGATTCAGTTACTGATTGGATCATACAGCACAGCCAGGACTTGAATCTGGGAGAGTCATATTCTGTAACCGCTACATGATACCAAGTTTTCAAACACTTTCTGATCCCAAATCATGTTTGCTGATATGTTCAGTAATTAAAAGGAATATGGCGCATCAGAAGCTATGTATGGTATTAAAGAAAACTTCTTAGAGATTGAATAGGTAAAAAAAAAAAAGTATTATAGAGATTAGGAGCATTTAGATTCTTATCCAAGGGATAAAGAGAACAGTGTGAAGGAAAATGAAATAGCCAACTGCTGGGAAACCAGAATACATCACTTGAAATTCTTTCTATTATTAATGCTTACAGATTTATATTGCACAATAAGGACATGTTTTAATGGTGAGAGTGCTAAATAAAGAAGGGAATGGAAAAGGACTTGCAAACCATTTATGGCCTTGAAATTTATAACTTTTATCTGCCCAAAGAATGATCAGTAGGAAGTAGTATATGCTAAAAATAATATGATATATAGTCACATAAAGTGTTAAATGTTACCACATTCATTGCAGAGGCTCATTGTTTATGTAATATAACCAATCAGGCTAAAATAAGCTTCTAGATTTTATTTAATAGTCTGTTTACAAGGTCTGGAAGTGCTAGCAGGAAGGTGAAATGAGCAATTCTTTTATCTGGAAATGCAAACCAGTTTCATATATTCAAGATAGGCAAGTAAGAAAAGATTCACCCCTAGAAAAATTCCTTGGGGACACAAATTTTGTCTTGTTCATTATATGTCTCTCCATTAGCAAAGTACCTGGAATAGGAACTGCTCAATAAATGCTTGTTGGATGTATGAAGACTTTTCAAACTATACCATTCACTAATTATTTATTGTTCCTTGTTTATCAGTGCTATTTAATAGAGACAAAAAATAAAACCACAGGACTAGACTTCAGGAAATTTGAGGTCTAGTGGGAAAAGACAAGAAGAGATGGCTGAAGTCAGTAGGATAAATATAAGTTTGAATTTCCCATCCTATAGGATGGGAATGAGTTTGTTATGAGAATATTATAGTTTTATTGCAGCACATCACTGTTAAATGGAAATATCTGTGATGGCTTTCTTTGACTTTCTCCTTTCGAACTGTTGCTTGCAGGAAGCTTTGGGATGGTCTGGTACATGTTTTGGCTTTTGGTGTCTTACGAGAGCCCTGCAAAGCATCCTACTATTACAGATGAAGAACGTAGGTACATAGAAGAAAGCATTGGAGAGAGTGCAAATCTTTTAGGTGCAATGGAAGTAAGAACTTTATTATGGTGTATATTCCTGTTCTTATTACCCATCTCATCCCCTCTTGACCAAGTAAACTGTTGTACAAGTCTTTATTCAACAAAATAATTTGATATCAATCATAATTTTTTTTGGTCTATTCATATTCCCTCACAGGAATAACTGCCACTTGCTCCATCTGTATTTCTTTTCTTTTTCTTTTTTTAAGCATTTTTAAATGTGCTCTGGATTTTAGCTATAACTGTAAACTTAAGCAAATTTTAAAAACAGTTCAATAGGGTCTAAAATTTAAATAAATTCAATCAATATTTGTTCATTTTAAATTATAGGAAATTCCCAATCAGTCATGAATGTTTTTATTTGTATTTTTTATTTATTGGATATAGTAGTCTCTTCTTATGTGCAGGGAATACTTTCCAAAACCCTCAGTGGATGCTTGGAACTGCAGATAATACCAAGTCCTATATATATATATATATATACTGCTGCTTTTTCTTATACATACATGCCTATGATAAAGTTTAATTTATAAATTAGACTGTAGATCAATAATGTCTAATAAAAAATAGAACAATTTTAACAATCTACTGTAACAAAAGTTATGTGAATACAGGTGTACACTCTTGCTCTCTCTCACAAAATATCTTATTGTACTGTACTATGGGATACTGAAACTTCAGCAAGTAAAACCTCAGATAAGGAGAGACTGCTGTATTCTATATGTAGGATATACACATACATATTTATGTTATATATGGTTTAGAAAATACTGAAGAATTAGAACACTAATAATAGAGAGCTGACATTAAATATTCTTAACATAATTTAATCCTTTCATTGATAAACCGTCATTATCTTTCGGTATTATTATAAATATCAAATATTAGAAAGATAACATTTTTTTTTTTTTTTTTTTTTTTTGCGACAGAGTCTCACTTTGTTGTCCAGGCTAGAGTGAGTGCCGTGGCGTCAGCCTAGCTCACAGCAACCTCAAACTCCTGGGCTTGAGTGATCCTCCTGCCTCAGCCTCCCGAGTAGCTGGGACTACAGGCATGCGCCACCATGCCCGGCTAATTTTTTATATATATATCAGTTGGCCAATTAATTTCTTTCTATTTATAGTAGAGACAGGGTCTCGCTCTTGCTCAGGCTGGTTTTGAACTCCTGACCTTGAGCAATCCGCCCGCCTCGGCCTCCCAAGAGCTAGGATTACAGGCGTGAGCCACAGCGCCCGGCCAGAAAGATAACATTTTGAAGCCTATTTTGGATGCCTCAATTTCTTAGATGAGACTTGCCTACGGAGAGAGAAAATGTAATCTATTTCACTAATGCAAATGTTTTATTCCATGTGAAAATATATCATACATAGTAATTAATATGTAGCCATCTGATATTATAAAATAAAACACAGATTAGTAAAAGTATATTTAGACAGGTTCAGTAATTTCACAACCTGATCAGTAACTCAATTTCCTGTGGCAAGAATTAGAAGGTATCAGCCCCTGGTTGAGGAACCGATACCCCTTACACATTATGCATCTGCTGTTTTTTTTAAAAAAGCTCCCTCCCTCCCCATTCTAGGTGTGTTTGATTCCAGCTCTGATTCTGTACTTCATTTATTTGAGAATGCTTGTTTTTGACATTTCATCCTAGGTAAAAATGTGTGTCACCCCTTGTGGCTGAGCTATCTTGTCTTTAATGAATAAGAAAAATCCCATATTGGATATCATTCAGAAATTAAACTTCAGTAATTAAAAAAATCCTTACATTGTAGTTGTTCCATGAATTAGAAGATTGTCATTGGAACTTTTCCCTTCTTATTTCCTTCTGTAAACGGACTGGTAATTTGTTATAGTGACTACTCAAGAAATGAGGCGATATGGGGGTGGGTAGGGAATTGGCAGTGTGCTCTGGTGCCCATCCAGCTGCAGTTACTGTGAGTGGAAGCTAAATACAGACTGGTCTATGGTGAGTTGTGGATTTAGCTTCAGTTTCTAGCCCAAAAGTAATCTGATTAGCCTATAGCCTCATTAGTCTATTATGTTTCTTTCATTTGCCAGTTCTTGAGAGGTCGTGTGTCTAGATCAGACATAAATTTAAAAAACAATCAGATATTTAGCCTAAGTAAAAGCCAATTACTGTAAATGACCACCAGAAGAACAGCAGGTAGGTTGGTAAAACAACATAGATTATCTCCAACTCTCCATTTCCTATACCTTATTAATTTTCTAAATACAATATTTGACTTCTTACTGATGTTTCATATGCTCCTGTAGCTTCAAAGTGAATTTAAAAATGAGATCTAATGGGAATGAAACTTGTATGTTATTTATTTTGAAGCTTTTATTGTGAACAAATTCAATATGCAGTAAAGCAGAAATAATAGTAACAGGAATATTGTATCCCAACCACATAGATGCAACAATTGCTGACATCTTGCCATATTTTTCACTTTTGTTTTGTTGAACCGTTTAAAAATAAATAAAACATCAAAATGCTTTACCCATAAATACCACACGTGTATCTCTAGAAAAATCATACTATTCTCCTTCACAATCCCAGTATTACTATCACACCTAGCATAATTAAAAATAATTCCTTACATCTAACATCTAGAACATATTCAAATTTCTAATACTCTCCATATTCTAATACCTAGTCTATATTCATATGTATTCGATAGCCATTTGTTTTGAGTCTGGATCCTATTAAGAATCACTCATGGCAATTGACTGTAATGTCTTTTAAACCTCTCTGTTTTCTTTAAAAAATAAGGAAAAAAGAAAAATAATTCTTAGAAATTAGGATCTATGCTTTTGGAATTAATATTCTCCAAACATGAAATCTTGTATATTCCTAAAGGTGGAACAATTTAATCAGTATCAGAGGTTATCTTTAAATATAACATATATGCTGAAAAAGATGAACAAATCATAAACGGCTTGTTAATTTTTTAATAAATTAAACATACCTGTGAAGCACAGCCAGTTCAATAAATAAAATGTTATCAGACTACCATAATCCTCCCTTCAGCCCCCAACAATTTTTATGATTTAAAATTAAATACTTTTACATTTGATGAAGTGCTATGCCACCTAAAGAATAAAGTTCTTAGGGGAGATGATCCTGGCATGAATGAAAGAACACTTTCCCAGCAGGGGAAAATTTTTTTACTTCTAATAATATTCTGAAGTAATTTCTTGTACAAATGTAATTCTATAATGCAGACGTTCCTGTCTGGACATTTTTATTATCTGTGAAATAAGCATATTCATCTGGTACTATTTTCCTAGAACATATTTAATTTTTTTAAAAAACTAAACTTTTTGATCTTATTTATGATGCTGTTTAGAAACTTTTATCCAAACCACAGTATTCATTACATATTATTAGGACAGGTTTTTGTTTTTGACCTTTCTCTATTTTGTGTTAACGTATATTAATGATTATCACAATGTAGCTTCCTACTATATTGCATTTAAACTGCTCTTTAAAAGACTTAATTACAGCTACAATTGTTACTAGCAATTATGTGGCTTTACATCCAAAAATAATTATTACATCTGTATAAAAGATGTTTGCCTACTTTAGTAATGTAATCAGTTCAAGGATCCCAAGCTAGCATTAAGTGAAATTACATTAGGGTATTGCTTCTTCACCAAACAGTACATTCAGTATTCAGAAAAAAGTAATTGAGAAAGTATTTGGGAATATGAGAGATATTTTAAAGTCTAAAAATATTAGTTTTGGGGGGAGAATATGTACTTGCTGTTAGGCATATATAGGAACTGTAAGTACACTAGATTTAATTTTTTAAAGAGTTTCATAAACAAAGCCAGTCATACTTAGGTTGTTAATTTTGAATGTCTGAATATCCATAAATAACTAGTTATGATTTGCCCAGGGTAGTCTGGGGGGCCAGGTGCTTTTACCAAGATGTTTGCCATGAGAATTTCATGGAATCTTATACTCCAGTGTCACAGAATTTATATTGATAGCTACTAGCTGTCAAGAGAATTTATAGATTGGTAGTAGAATAATTGACTTTAAGTAGGGAACACTATTAATTTTTCATATTTTTCTCTTCCCAAGTACATTGAATTTTCACTGTTTTAAATAAAATATTTTGGATAGCACAAGGCCACTGATGTGGCAGTGAGTTTTAGCTGAGGCATGATCTATCCCTACTAAAAAAGGTGAAAAAAAGAAAAAAAGAAAAGAAAACTTAGAAACTGGATCTATGCTTTTGGAATTAAGTTCCTATGAACATGGAATCTTGTATATTCTTAAAGATGGGACAATTTAATTAGTAACAGAGGTTGATATCTTGTTTTTTGTCTTCCAATGATTATTCATGTAACTAAGATTAACTGGGTAGTTGTAATTAATGATTCACTACCTCATTTCTACCTTCTACTCATGCCCCATCACATACATCCTAGAAATGCAAAGCATCTATTATTCTCATTTAAGTTAGAAAATGTTTAAAATGGTCAGAATAACTCTCTTTTTGGGATTTCAGAAATTCAAGACTCCATGGAGGAAATTTTTTACATCTATGCCAGTTTATGCAATAATTGTTGCAAACTTCTGCAGAAGCTGGACTTTTTATTTATTGCTTATTAGTCAGCCAGCATATTTTGAAGAAGTCTTTGGATTTGAAATCAGCAAGGTATGTAAAAATTATCTTTATTTGAAAAGTGGATGATTTTTGTATTTAAGTGAATTTTAAATTTCTTTGTCAAGACTATCTTCCCAATTTCATGTGTTATTCGTCTATTCATTCCGCAAATATCTTCTAGGAAATAGAGGATAAGTAAGGTGTTTGAGTGTCTACTGTATTCTCTTACCTGCTAGAAACTGCTCTCTGGTGCTGGGAATATAGGCAAAAAAGACCTAGTTTCTGACTTCATGGAACTTACATCCCAATTGGGGTGAGAAGCAGTATAGCATTTTTCCTGTAAATAAACAACTTCCTTCAAGTCTCAGGTCAGAGACAATATAATAGTGAACAAAAAAAATTCTGTTCAAATGGAATTGTACTTAGATAATTACCAATCTAACTTTTTTAATGCTTTCATAAAATTGTTCAGCTAAAAGATACAAAGATAGCAAAAAAATCTGAAAACATTCTTATATTTTGTTCATCCAATTTATTAATTTAGCAAGAATTTATTGACTATAATATGCAGAGATTTGTGTTATATTAAAAAATAAAGACATTGTTTCTGTCCTCAAAGTGTTCACAGTTTGGTGGTATAGACAAAAAATAAGCTACCAATTACAGAACAGCGTGCTAAGTACTACAGACATTTGTTTGTAGCTATGGAAATATAATCATTTTGAGATTTTCTATAACATAAATATGCTACCTTATGTTTATATAGAGATTTGAAATTTAGAAGCTCCTCTCATATTCAACCTTGTTTGACTGGCTTGTTGGATAACTATCATCATTTATATTGAAATGATGGGAAAACAGAAACTAGGGAAAGTATTTAAATTGCCTAAAGCCATGATAGTAATAAATGACAGAGTCAAGTTTAGGTCCAGATCCTTTGGTTTCTGTTTCAATTCCCTTTACTATGCCATTCAAATTCAGGTAAATCATATATCCATTCAAGCACTGAGTGAGTATTTGCTGAATGCCATCTCTGTGCCAAGCCTTTTGCTGAGTCCTGAATACATTGTCTGTGCTGGCAATGGTCTTGCCATCTCTCTCCATGTCATTACATAAGTCCAGCTGGGTTTGCTATTCATATTACATCTCTACTTGAAAGACTATCTGAGTTCTGGGACTGAAGAAAACCTGAGTTTAGGAGTAGCTATTCTAAGAGCTCTTTTGTAATCCCTGTTTCTAAGGAAACTGTTTCCTCCATCCCTGAGAAGAATGGCTGCTTTAGACAGGGCTCTTCTCACTGGAGCTAATCAAACATTCCAGGGTAGCCTTTGGGAGCTCTGAGAGGTGTTATACATCTCAACAAAGGCTGCTGGAGGTGTGAGTCCATTTTCATAATCTAGGGCAAATAGGACACTGAGAAGCTATTAATAAAGTCAGGTCTCGTGGAGGAGAGTGAGAGAACCAACTGATGCTAATGAAACTGTGTGGTCGTTCTGGCTCTGGAGCTCCAATTAATTGAGAATGCTTGAGTAAAAGCAATAGTGTTTTGGAAAAACTAAATATTAGGTTGATTTATTTGATTCATTATTATTTTTAACTAAAATTATAGATAAATGCTACACACAGAGATTAATCTTCAGATTTTAATTAGATTGGCAAAAAAAAAAAATTCTGCCTTACCTAAAAAAATTGTACAGGAAGTGATGGAGGACATAGAGCATGGACTTTGGGTCCGGGCTGACATGGCTTAGAATCCAAGCTCTACAATGAAGTATTGGTGCATAACTTTGGGCTGGGTATTGAATAATTGTCAGCCTCAAATTTCTTATCTATAAATAATGGTATTAATATTATCTTTCAGAAATGCAGCAAAAATTTAAGTCAAATAAATGAAATATTTACATGGGAGGTCATTCTCCCCAACCTTAGTTCAATTGGGTATCCTATAGATAAAACCACACATGTAATGGCTTAATCTTCATTCCAGGAATACTGACTCAATTAACACAGAGTGTGTATATATACATACACACACACACATATATATATACTTATATATAATTATATTTTTATATAATAGATAACTATTAATATATGAGTATGTAAACTCACTAAATTATATACTTATATAATATTTTATGTTATCTATAACACATATTAGAACTAATATATATGATTTAACTACATAAGTTAACTATATTAGTTAACTGATCTATATCATAATTTATATTAGCATAGGATTATATGTATATTTGTACATATCATATTAGCCTATGTTCATTTGTAAAAATTTTCAGACCCTTGAGGATGACATATCAGAGGAAGGCCAATGCTAGGATTAACTAGGGCTTTGAAAGATCAGATTATAGAAACAAACCAAATGAGAAGAGACATTTGTTGCTTTCGAGCTTCATATTTGGGGAAGGAGGAGAATAGTATTGGGTGGCTGTTCTTCACTAATGTGCAGCCTGCCAGTTTCTGAACAGAATATGGATCAGATAGAGAGAGATGAAATCCAGATTGTGACTCAGAGAAGCAAAGAGGAGGATGGAGCAAAAATCTAATTACTTGGAGTTTCTATGAAGAATCCATCAGTTATAAGCTCAAAACATTTAATCTACACTTGCAAAACCTGAAAAATAATGAGCAAACTTCTGATGATACTCTAAGATGGTTTTGATCATTCTGATCATGTGGGAAGTGATTATTCACAGTAAGTCACCAAAAGATGAGAAGACAGTTGAATATTCTTGAAGTTTTGAACTTTCTGTGGCCCAGTTGAGGTCACATACAGAATATATCTACATATTGCCTAAGGAAGACATTCAATACGCTCAAATGTTAAGTCTGTGTGGTAAAATATTCCAAAACTTCTCTCTAATTAACCTCTAGAATTGTTAGCCTCTTGCATTTTCCAAGGTGCTTTGCATACCCTTTGCTGAGAGTGAATAAATAACTTTGTTCATTTCTTACTATTATCATAGCTTTGTTCTTTGCTTATCCAAAGCAATCAAAACATTTATTTGAATTGATGATAAATAGCAGAGGATGTTCAATTTACAAACTTTTCAGATGTACCAAATACTGGGTTAAAATACAGGCCAATTATGTGGACTTAGGAAATGCAATTATTCCTAAGCTCTCAGCCTGCCTTTATGAACATCAAACACATGGCATGTAATTCTATTCAAGTCCTAACATGGTGTGTTCCAGAATGTTTTGCTCAAAGGTTTCTTTCTACACACTGATGGCTTTAAATATATCTACTGCTGTTAAGAAAAAGAGCCATTGTTCTTTTTCCAAGAGGCTATTCTCAAAAGCAATGTTTGTCCTAATGTTAGTTTATGTGATATCTTTATTTAGCTCATATTTGTTGAGCCGCTGCTACATGCCAAGTTTTGTATTAAATGAAGTACATCTGCATATGTTGTCTGATTTTATTTGATTTTTCATTCTCATATGATGGTGATTCTAAGCACAAAGGTTAAGACCTTAGTTTTTGGACTCAGGTAGAACTGGCTCAAAACTTGGCTCTGGCAATTACTTAACACTTCTGAGTCTTAGTTTCTTCATTTAATACCAATATTAAAAACTTCCATCTGTGCTATAAGAGGTAATTAAATAGCCTGAACATTTAAGGTATCTTAGAATCATTCACTATCTCAATTAATTATTACAGGAAACCACGTCCTTGATCGAGATACCATACTATATACCACTATAGAATAAAACAAATTCCTATCTCAAAACTTCAATAATCTAATTGGAAAGACACACTTAAAAATAAATAATAAACACTTAGCCAGTACTTATCATATGCCATGACCTGTCCTTCAAAGTACACTTAGCAAGAAACTTCTTTATTTGTTTACATTTAAAATTTGCTAAGTCCCTGTATGTGGTAATAATAATCTAAATGCCTTTTATTCATACTTCCCACCCCTACAATGCCTAGAGAACAATGCTTTGTATATAATGAATGGTTAAAAATGTTTGTTGAATTGATGCTGGCTAAGTTTTAGATTGGGCTATTTAGTATCAAGTTAGTTCAGAAACTATATGCCACTGTATGACAATATGACAAAGTATTGATATTTGACATAGAAAATTTTTAAAATTGAAAAATTGGTGTGCATTATCTGGATGTTTCCTCTATGGAAGTTAAATCTGTGTTATAGGACTCATAAGATATATATATATATATATATATATATATATATATTTAAAATCCAAATATGTAATTTTTAGCATTATGAATTAAAAAATGAATTTTAAAATATAGCCTCTTCAAGGTATAATAAATGTATTTTTCCTCTCTCTTTTTGCTCTCCCTCTCTTGTTAATGATATATTTGTTCAAACACATTCAAGAATATAAAATGGATACACAAATATAAATCACTGTGTGGTAAGATTTAGAATAGTTGATTCATAACCTCAAAATTTACTGAGTCATAACAGAAAAAAAAAGTATCCCTTTATTGTAGAAGTTAAAAAGTGATCAAAGTAAATTTACTTAGCTTTTCTCATTTATTCTGTGGAAGTTATTACTTATTCTAGGAATGAGTAAGTGGTCATTTAGAGGCAGTATTTTTCTTTCATTTGTTCACAAAGAGTTGATAATGGATTCATAAAACCAAGGCCATTAAATTGTCCACATTATTTATGGTCACGTATATTTCTCCCCCATATTGTTTTTCATCAGGTTGGCATGCTGTCTGCTGTGCCACACTTAGTGATGACAATTATTGTGCCTATTGGAGGGCAAATTGCAGATTTTCTAAGAAGCAAGCAAATTCTTTCAACCACTACTGTGAGAAAGATCATGAACTGTGGCGGTAAGTATGCAAGTGTTAGTAGGGACCTGTTTTTCAGTTCACTAAGTCCTAATCTACATGAGTGAATAACTTTTTCTACACACATCAAATTACTTAGTTGCAGTTAAATTTGTGCCTTTGTTGTTCATTTAAAATCACTTTCCTATCTTCAAACTTTATAATTCCTAGTTTTTGTTTGTTTGTTTGTTTTTTGAGACAGAGTCTCACTTTATTGCCCAGGCTAGAGTGCTGTAGTGTCAGCCTAGCTCACAGCAACTTCAAACTCCTGGACTCAAGCAATCCTCCTGCCTCAGCCTCCCAAGTAGCTGGGACTATAGGCATGCACCACTATGCCCGCCTAATATTTTCTATATATTTTTAGCTGGCCAATTAATATCTTTCTATTTTTAGTAGAGATGGGATTTCACTCTTGCTCATGCTGGTTTCGAACTCCTGACCTTGGGTAGCCATCCTCCCGCCTCGGCCTCCCAGAGAGCTAAGATTACAGGCGTGAGCCACCTCGCCCAGCCTGTAGTTCCTAGTTTTAAATATTGTCATAATAATGTCATTTGTATTATATTTATTTAACTGACTTAACCCTTCTCACCATTGAAATTTTGGGTTGTTTTGGATGTTTTTATTAAAAAACAAGAAAGGCTTCAGTAAACCTCTGTCATAAATTATTACTATTATTATTATTTTTAAAAATAGACCCCCTGAAGTGGAATTTCTAGACCAATAAGTATTAACTTTTTAGCAATTTTGGCTCATTGGTAAAATTTACACACATTTTTAAGTATTTCCATGTATTTGCTTCTGAAGGTTTTGGCATGGAAGCCACACTGCTTCTGGTCGTTGGCTATTCTCATACTAGAGGGGTAGCTATCTCGTTCTTGGTACTTGCAGTGGGATTCAGTGGATTTGCTATATCTGGTAAGATAATTTTATTTCTTTGTACTTATGACATCTTTGTATTTGTGACATTCTGATTTTGGCTGGTGATCATACACACACACAACACACATATGCATATATGTGCATATGTTTTAGATGTTAACAGTCAAAATAGAAAACATTTAGAAAACATCATTTGGATTGGTTACTACTTACTACCCTACCCTACTTACCATTTTGTTGTTGTTGTTAAGAAAACATTTCCTCCTCTCTGTGGAGTGAGCATCTTATATTAAGTATTGGATAAGAAATCATACCCCATTCTATTCTCATTATATCCCTGAGCTAAATTATCAATAAGTAGTTAAGCACATGTTATGTATCCAGTACTTTTTTAAAGTTGTGATGTGATATTCTATAGGTGCTTACGTCTAAGAGGTTTATAATTTCCTGAATCAAAACTAATGTGTGTATTTCAGGTTTCAATGTTAACCACTTGGATATTGCTCCGAGATATGCCAGTATCTTAATGGGCATTTCGAATGGTGTTGGCACATTATCAGGAATGGTTTGCCCTATCATTGTTGGTGCAATGACAAAGAATAAGGTAAGATGAAGCAAAACAGATATTTAGTTGTGGAAGATTCTTAAGAATCTTTTTGGAGAAGAGTCAACATATTCTTGGCATTTTCTTTCTGGTCTAGTCACCACACCTCTGAGTAGGGAAGATAGTTAAGATAATTGAAGCTCAGAAGAAAATATCTCTTTAGGAACTAACAAAGTCCAGTTCCACAATTAATAAGAAATATATTTCTCAACACCTTTTCCTATTTCTCATATCCCCGTGTAACAACAATAAAAAAACCCTTTTCCTTCTTGTTTATTAAAATAGGCAAACAGAAGTCTTCTGAGCTTTATTTGTAAACCTCAATTCACAGACTCCTCTGCAGTTATCCCTGGAAGAATATTATTAAATAAGCTGTATTTTCTTATATGTGTTTGTAGAGCTTCAAAATTATGGTTTACCAGAGGAAATAAAAAGAGTGGAATTAAAAGATGAGTAAATCAATAGAAATGAAAAGAGAGTATGAATATTTTCAAAATCAGCAGGCACATAGGTATATTTGGAATTTTAGTTCAAAACTTTTATATTAGAAAATTAAATAATGGAAATAACACTATTATAGAAAGTTTTTTTTTAGCAGAGTGTTTGGTTTACTTAATCAGTATGTGGATATCCCTGAAGGTAGTGTTTTATAAAAACTCAGTGGTGGAGCATTCAGGGAAGAGGCTAGGGTTTTCCATCATGGGGATTTTATTCTCACAGTGTCACTTTTTGTCACTACAGTCACGAGAAGAGTGGCAGTACGTCTTCCTGATTGCTGCCCTAGTCCACTATGGCGGAGTTATATTTTATGCAATATTTGCCTCAGGAGAGAAGCAACCTTGGGCAGACCCTGAGGAAACAAGTGAAGAAAAATGTGGATTTATCCACGAAGATGAACTTGATGAAGAAACAGGGGACATTACTCAAAATTATATAAATTATGGTACCACCAAGTCTTATGGTGCCACAACACAGGCCAATGGAGGTTGGCCCGATGGTTGGGAAAAGAAAGAGGAATTTGTACAAGAAGAGGTACAAGACTCATATAGCTATAGGGACCAAGATGATTATTCATAACAAAACTAATTGCTGGATTTCTTTTTAGTGTTTGTGATTAAATTCATTGTGATTGCACAAAAATTTTAAAAAATGTGGTATAAACATGTAAACATACCAATCAGGCAAGTCTTGCTGTAAAAATGAGATCAAAACAAACCCATGAATTTACCATCGAGTGCAATCTGTAGAAGTTGTGAAGTTCCATCATTTCCATTCAGGTAATCCATTCTTGCCTTTGTGACTGGTCAAAATTGTAGAAACAAGTAGTTATTCATTGGATTCATTTGAGCTAAAACTCATCACCATTTAATAAAGCACAACTAGAACAGTTGGCACATCTCATCCTCCAAAGGTTAGGAAGCCAAAGCTACTTGATCATGCAACATGCACTTAAATATTTGTTCCAATGTATTGCAAGATATCACACAGAAGTCCTGTTTAAATAAAATAAGTGAAACACATCAAGTTGGCTGCATCATGTATTGGCAACATTTATTAACTGTAAATCATGTACCTGGGATATCTTTCTGTTGATGAAGTATATTGTATATTAGCAGCTAGCAAGTTGTACTGAATAATTATTAGAATTACATAATGTGGGATATTTTGTTGGTCCTCAAAAGGAATATCTTGCAGTGTTTTATATGAAATGCTTGGGCACAAACACTTATTGTGAAAGAGAACTTATAAATTGAGGGGTATGCTTCATGTTCCTCCATTCATTTACCTAACAGTATAAACACTTCACATTTCAATAATATCCAACTTTTCATGTAGCATATCACATAACTTTTTTGCAAAAAATATAAAAAGAAATAGACTTCAATGTATTTTTTATTACAACTTTGTACTGGTTGTAACTTGCATTAGGAAAAAAAAGATATATACACCATAAAGAATCTAATACAAAATTTACTACGGAGATATAGCCCTTAAAATGCAATATTAACATCAAAAGAAATAGAAAATGGTTTAGATATCTTTCTTCCTTAATAATTAAATATTATATGAAACTTGTGCCACAGAACTATATATAATATGAAAAGATAAACTTAATAGAGATATTGTAAGTAGAAAATTTTATTATTTAAAGTCCTATTTAAGAGATATTTGTCTTAAAAATATAGGACAATAAATTATATTAAAATTATATCTATATCTATATATATCTGTATATCTTATACATATCCATACACAGGAACATAATAAACAATCTTCACACAAAACCAAAAGTAGCATACACCTAATGTTGGGTTAGGGAACTGAAATTTCTACTTTCATAGAGTCATAGAATTTTAGATGGGGAAGAGGCATTTTGCTTGTTATTTCTTAATATAATTCAACAGGAATTGCAACATTTGTGTACCAAGCAATAAGTGCAATGCATAAAATTTCCTGTCTATATATTACCTTCATTTTGCTTGTGGTAGCTGTTTGGGTGGTTGCAATGATGTTTTCTTTTAAAATAGTTCACATCAGACCTCTTTATAATGTTCTAAAATTATAATAATGCATTTCCCAATTCAACTCAGAATATTATTGGTGTATTTTTAATTGTCTATTCTGGATATTTGATCTGTTCATTGTATTGTGCTAGTGACTGGAGGCCCTGCTACTGCAAATATAAAACATAAAGTTTGTTTAAAAATGCAAACCATTCTTGACCTTAAGAAAATAAAAAATACCCTCCTTTGCTTTGTGTCTCAAAGTGATACAATGTGATCATAGCTTTTGTTGTGTTGAATGAAAAGATGTGGACTGTCATTTTGTTGCAGCAAAAAAAGTATTAATAAAATGCTCTATTTATCCTTTTGTAAAAAGAATACATTAATTTGGATATATTTTATTTAGTTTTTAGCTTTAATATGAATTTATCTTGTGGATACTCCAACGAAGCCAAATCTAGGCTCAGAGAGCCTTTTTAGCCACTTGAGATTTAAAGGCAGAACATGGCATTCTTTAGATTTTGTGGGATGTGGTTCCTTAGAGAGTTTTAAATCAAGAAATAGATCTGAATGAAGGTCCATCTTTCAATGACGGCGGTCACAATTGCTGTTAAGTTTGAAGAAAAATGTAGGCAAAAACTCAAACCTTGTCACATAAGTGTTACCACATAATTTTCATTGCATACATACCCTGTGCTAGGTAACTATCCTGCTCTATTTTTGGATATTATCTTATGTAATTACACAATGACCCTTTACAGTAGGGTATTCTTTTTATTCTCAGTTTACAAAGAAACAGAAGTTCAGAAAGTTTGAGTAACTTTCCCAAGGTAAAATAGAGTAATATTATTACATTATAATGTTTCAGACAAACCAATTATCAGTGAGCAAGGTAGCCAATAGAATGTGTTTGTCACCAGAAAGACAATCATTTAGCTCAGATTTCCCACTTTATAAATGTATAGAAAGGGAAGACAATAAAGATATATGTGTATATATATATGTATAGGATATATACATATATATACATATATATGTATAGGATTTATATATGGAATCTGCATCTATAGAATCTATAGAATCTAAGACTCATGGAACTTTATTGCTCAAATGATTTATGAGATGACTTAGTTGACAACGCTTAGTTAACAAAAGAGGACATTGAAGGTTGATAAAAGGAACCTACTTGATCAAGGGAACACAACACAGAGATTGTTATGGACTTGGAAAGAAATTATGCAGACTAGCTATGCATTTATCTTTCTTTTCCTGTTAAACCAGGTTTTTATTTAAGAAATTAATCAAATGAGTCTTTATTGCTTCAACTGCTACCCCACATTCACCACTCACATAACCTATGAGTGTGTGTGGGAGTGGGAGGTGAGGAGATATGTTTTCTCTTCCTATAATCCTCTGCATAAAGAAACAGTGGCCAGAGATCCAGCCTAATTCTTAAGGAGGCTCATATGCCATCTCTGCATAACTTGATATGCAGGAATGAAAATATCTTGAATTTAATACTATTTAGTTTCCTCAATTCCAAAACACAAAGTTTACATTTCCTGTAAGAAATGTCCTTAGTTGGGTGCAGTGGCATATGCCTGTAGTCCAGCTACTTGGGAGGCTGAGGCTGGAGGATCATCGGAACTCAGGATATCAAGGGTGCAGTGTGTTATGATCCTGCCTGTGAATAGAGTGCCACTCCAGCCTGTGCAAGATAGTGAGACTCTTGTCTCTAAAAATAAAAAAGAAAGAGAGAGAAAATTGTTCTAATGATGTCTCCAAATATGGCTACTGGCCACATTCATTTCCCCTTATTTCAATCATACAAAATCGTCATCCATCTCCTTCTCCTCTTTGCCCTCCCTTTTCCCTCTCTTTCCTCCTCATCGTTATATGTATCTAGCATTTTGCAATTTGCAAAATGCTCTCATGCATTAACTTATTTTGTCCTCATATCTTCCTTGTAAAAATAAAAGGCCATGTATCATTATTAGTTTTTCTATTTTCCAGGTAAGGAGACCAGGTCTAAGAGAGTGTAGTTAACTTCCTAAAGATTCCCCAGGCAAGGATGGAACTAGAATACAGACTATTTGGCCACAGCAAGAGAATATTTTCTTTTTACTTTTAAGTCACCTTATTACCTTTCTGATTGTAAATGCAGTACTTGGCAAGTCGGAGTCCTTCGTTACATAAAGAACAATATTAAAAACAATGAAAATAACGGTAACCAATAATCCTGCTACCCAGAGATAAGCACTGTTAACATTTCCAGAATCTTTTATATGAAAAACACAAAAACTTACATATATTTTATAATTTAAAAATATGAAATTATACTTGAATAACTGTTGCCACCTACTTTTTCCATTTAATAGTATAGCATGTATATATTTCTATTTGATTAATAGGGTTCTATAGTATAATATTTTATAACATAACATGAACTATGTTCTATATATTTATCTCATACCTTCTTTATGAGCATCTTAGTTATTTCCAATATTTGGCTAATATAATCATTTGTGTTACAAATATCACTGTGTGTTCATCTTTTCATTCTTTCCTCTTCATGCTTATGTGAAACATTTTGGGAAATGCAAGTGCAATGTCACATGTACACACCTTCAACCTCTATAATTATGGTGGATAATCAAGTTGTTATCTGTGGTTTATTGTTCCTGTGTTTGTCTACAAAAAATTATACTAGCAACTGGCTTTTCTGAGGCTCATTTACTAATTCACTTATTCACCCAATAAATATTTACGAAGCACCCACACTATACAAGGTACTGAAGATACAGTAGTAAGATAGTCCCACTTCCTGAGGTATTTACATGACTCCCAGCAAGGCCACACAGATGTGGTACAGAGAGGAAGCTCCTGGACACAGGGCCCTCCCTAACAACACTCAGAAAGGACTTTTTAATTGCCAAATCTCCCAAAGGTGAGATACTTTCAAGGTGCACTCCCCCTGTCAAGTTTTTTGTTTGTTTGTTTGTTTTTTTCGTTTCAGACGAGGAAGATTTTCTCTCTCTCAGCGATCCTTAAGCTTTGGGGAGTCCAAGTCATTGGGGTAAATCAGCATCTACTATCTCCAGCACCTGAATATCTGCAGAAGGGGAGATGGTCTGAACTTTGAATTGCATTTTCCAGTTTTCCTTCAAATTTCTTTCTGTTGCATTCCTCCTCTGGGCTTCTCATGACCCATACATTTTCATTTTCCATTATTCTTCATCTACCCTCAGTTTTGTTGTTGTTGTTGTTTTTGTATTTCTTCTTTTTCTTAATTAAAAAAAATTCACTTCTGGATAAAGTAGCCCTTCTGAGATACCCTCAGTTTTAACCACAAATAGAGACTACAAAGATTTAATTCTTTTTGTGGCTATGTAGTTAGCAGGGTTTTTAATATTTTTTTTTCTCTCTATCCTCATCCAAGACCTCAAACCTCAATTTTCATTCAGCTGCAGTCTAAAACACTTTATTTGTGAAGGCTGGTCTAACACTAGTCAGTCCCTTAGAAGTATAAGCTTCCCCAAGTTTTCCCCTGAATGCCACCAAGCACCTAAAAACTGCATCATCTGGACATATCTATCACCCTGTCTTCTTCTCTTATTTAGCAACATTGACTGAATGAAACCCTTGGCTTTCATCAAGAGCAAATAAAATGAAGAAATCTCTTACTTTTCTTAAACCACATTTGAGAACATGTTTCATTACTTTGCCCGATATGCATTAGGTAAAGATCTTTGACTTTCTAAGAGTTTGAGGACACTTTTCTGATGCATAAGTGCACTGTCAACAATTAGATATGAAAGGCATGGAGCCCATCATGCTTCCTTCTTTGTTTTCTCTAGGGAGCTTAAAGATACACTTTTTGGCTCAATTGCTTTTTTTGGTATCCCTTCCTCATTTACATTTGGTTTCTGTCCTTTACTGTTTGTTTGTTTAGGTGTTGTTGTCTTTTGATTTAATATTAAAGAAGGACGTGAATGAGGGATTCAGAAAGAATAATAATGATAATAGTAATCATTTGTATAGGCATCTCAGTTTATATATATAACTTTATGTGAGAACATGAAGTCAGAATGTGAACCCAAGCAGTCTGACTGCAGATCTTATACTCTTTATCACAACAGTACACTGCCTGTGAGTAGCTGTGTGACTCTGGGAAGTTACTTAATTTCTCTGAGCCTTGATTTTTTTCATCTATAATATGGCATTGTACTATATAACTTGTAGCTGGTTTGGTGATTAAATCAAATTATATATAAAATGTTTAACACAGTGCCCTTCATGTTAATGCAGTGTAATAAATATTTAATGTGTGTAAACACATAAGTGTTTAACAAATGTTATTTCCCTATATCCTTTCTCTATGATACTAAGTAAATATAAGGTATTGATTTTTCAATTATGACTTCAATGTCAGATTCATCATAATGAGCCATTTTGGAGACTATTTGAGGTATTTTTATTTTTAACACTACTATTCAGATTAGTTACCTACATTATTTGTTTCTATTTGCATTTTATAAATTGTATGTGACAAAAATGTGCAGAATTATAGGCACTATAAAATACTCTTTATGTAAAATATAGCAATATATTTATAAAAATATAAGACACTGCATACTGTATAGTGGAAGGATAAAGACACAGATTGGAGGGATACCACAAAAGTATTCAGACTTTTTGCATCTGGAGAGGAAGGAATAAAATGTGCTTGGTAAAGCATAAAAGAAATTTCAAACTTGGCATTTTTTAATTTAAAGGAAGATCTAAAGCAAACGTAAAACATCAATGCTTGTTTATTCTAGGAATTCACATATGAATTTTTATTATCTTTTTCATGCTACTTTTCTGTATTTTGAAATGCAAAAATAAGCAAGCTAGATATAATATTTTTTCCAGAGAACACAAGCTTTTATTGCTCTCCAGTCTTTTTTTTTTTTTTTAATCTCTGAGCTGCCAATGAAGATATTGTCATGATCTTCAAGGACATTTGACAGTTTTCTGAAGCTATTGAATTTAATGCAACAGCTTTGGGAGAATTCTTTATTTTATAAAGTCAAGGTGCAAGAGGAATTATGCACATTTATGAACAGGTTTATGAATCTAAATGAAGTTCTTCTGCACAAAGCCAACAAAAGTGTGAATGAGAATAAATGTCACAGATGAAAGTTATCTTTCCCACAGATCTCATCGGAGTGTATTGGATTGCTTCTCAAAGATTTGAAGAAAAACAGTAGTATGAGGGGGCATGTCTATCTCCATGAATGGAGTGTGGAAATTAGTGTGTCCCCATTAATCTAAAGTCACATTAATTCTCTCAATTCCACTTGCAATGGGATAGCAGAAAAAGCAG